CCAGGCAGAGAACCCCACATCGGCCAGCCCAGCTCAACCTGGCAAGGAGGCAGCCAGGGCAGGGGCTCCGGAGCCAGCTCCCATCTCCCCATCTTGACCGTCCCCCACAACCCACCCGGCATCCGTCGCCCTACACCACCCAACACTCTTTCTGTCGTCTCCTGTGTTGCAACAGAGCGTAACAAGCGCCCCGTGCGGAAGGGTGGCCTTTCACTCGTTGCAGAAATAAATGCTCAGCAAGCGCCCACCCTGCGCCAGGCCCTGGGACACCAAGGGAACGAAATCACCAACACACTTCCTGCGCTCACGGAGCTTGGCAGGGGAGGCAGGCACAAATAAACAACCAACAACAAATAATTACAAATTGGGTTAAGTGCTATGAAGGCAGGAAAGTGTAATTAGCCTCTGCTCACCTCTCCCTGGTCCCAGAGGCCTGCCCTCATTAGAAAATAGCCACAACCGCCTGGCCTCCCCGGCACACTGCTGGGCCCAGAACCCCGGTTCAGCCCGCATAGCGAGGGGGTCGACGGCACTCCGAGGAACATTTGTTGAGCTAAACGGGAGGGGGGAAATAACTTTTAATTAAAAGAACAGAAATCTAGAGGCACCTCAGTGGCTTGGCCATTGAGCATCTGCCTTCAGCCCGGGGTGTGATCCTGGAGTCCCGGGATCGAGTCCCACGTCGGGCTCCCTGCATGGAGCCTGCTTCTCCCTCTGCCTGTGTCTCTGCCTCTCTCTCTCTTTCTCTCTGTGTGTCTTGAATGAATGAATAAATAAAATCTTAAAAAAAAAAAAAAGACTGGATGCAAAGTGATGAAATGCCTTGAATGCAGCCTCCCTGGGCCCCTAAGGCGGTCACTGCTCCTCTGAGCTGGGTGGCACCGCCGGTACTCCGGTGGTCACCGCCACCCCGCACATCACCCCTCACCCCGCAGCTCTTGCTGCTGTCTCAGCCTGAAACAGCCTTCCCCCCCCTCCTGGACGACTCTTCCTCTCCCTTCAAGCCTTTGCTCTCTGGCCCCTCTGGGAATGTGTCCCCGGCACCTCACGCAGGTCAGGGCCTCTCCCGGGTGTCTGTCCACAGCCCACCTGCCGTGTGGAGGGGTCCCAACAGGCACTGTTTCCATTTCTCCACTCCTGCTCCTGGTTCCCCTTTGTCAGCCCTTGCCCTTCCCAAATAGACTGGCAGCCCCCCAACCCCCAGCTCTGGAGCCCTCAGAAATTGCGCACAGCCTAGGTCATCCCATTCCCAAGACTTGGCCGCTGGGCAGGGCCTCCGTCCTGCAGCCTCGGGACAGGCCTGCTCCAAGGGACAGTCCAGAGAAAGGAGGTCAGAGTTTCTAGCCTCATCAGGCAAGAGGGCCCTGACTCAGGGAGCACAGATGTGGATGTGCATCTAGGAGGGAGGAAGGGACATCTACAGGGCCCTGAACAAGCTCATCAGGGAAGTCTTCCTGGAGGAGGGGCCTAGCCTCCCAATCAGGCCCCGGAGTGAGACAAAGATTCTTCCCTGCAGAGCGACTCCCTGTCTGTCTCCCCAGGAGCCACATCCCGCCCAGAGCCCCAGCCGGGCTGAGATGTGCTCACTGGAACATTCATCCAGCAACTATGCATTGCTGTTTGGAGTTATCCCAGGCCTGCTGGCTCCACGGGCCGAGCCTCGGGGCACACGGGGAGCAGAGCACAGAGCAGAAACTGAAACTGTGACACAAGGATGCCATTCCCATAAGGCCACCCGGACAGCCTGCGTGGGCCAACTCGGACACCTCTCCTCCCGGCTGAGAGGCAAAGGAGCCCTGCGCCCGGCCTCTGAGTGGGCAGGACCGTCTGAAGGCCACGGGTGGACAGGGAGGCAAGAGGGAAGAGGTGGGCGAGAAAGACGAGACAGGTCAGAGGTTGGGAGGGAGCACTGCGGAGAAATGGAAGAAAGAAGAAGCAGAGAAAATGAGGAAAACCCCCCTTTGCTTCTTTGAGGACCCATCTCAGGGGCCCGTGGGACAGCCCGGCCCTCGCCGCCCCATGTCCTGCCTCCTTGCCCCACTCTGCCCTCCGTCTGCCTCCTGGAGGGTCGGAATTACATCGCCCACCAGTGACAGGAGACCAGGGGTAAAGGAGGGAGGCCCAAGGCAGAAGGAGGGGGGCTGAGGTTTCTGTCCCTGGGCCATGTGAGGACCAACTGGAGCAGGCCTCCAGAATCCCAGAGGGGCGCAGGATGGCCCGATGCTGGCTCCAGCCGGGGTCCCCCAAGCGCACGACCCATGTGAAGCCCAAAGCAGGTGTGATTGCAGGTCCGGAGGCTGCCGGGCACCGAAACATCCCCACCGAGGCTGAGAGTTCTCCCCGCCTTCCACCCCCCCACACCCTGCCAGGCTTCCTGATCCCCGGGAGGTGGTTCAGCTCTGAGCCAAGGCCAGGAGGGGGTCCGTGTCAGGTCCTCCGCGACCCCACCACGGCTTACAGTTGACCCTCAAGGCTGCCAGTGTGGGGGTGGAGGATGGTGGGGGTGGAGCGTGGAGAGGAGAGCGGCGGGGGGGGGGGAGGCTGGGGGCTTCCAGGAGCTGTGACAGCCACGGACTCCTCTGGGACTGCCCCCACGAGAGACCGCGGGGCCCAGGAGAAAAGAGCGGGACCCCCGTGCCATCCCGCCCGGAGCACCAGGCCAGCATGCCCTCCATGCCTCCAGGACGCCCGGACACCCTGAGGACAGTGCAGTGCTCAGGCCCAGAGCCGTGACGGGGGACGCGGCCACGCGCTGACGGAGGCCAGCCCAAGCTAGCCAGAGATAGCCGACCTGGGTCTGCGGAGGCGCTCTCGGGAATTAGGGCGTCCAGCTCAAGGAAAATCAGGAGGTGGAACGGGGCCCCTGGCATCCCACTGCCCTTCCCTGGGACCAATCACCAGGCTCGGAGGGTCACATCAGAGGGAGGGCCATAGCCCAGCTGCCTGCGTGCACATCTACCCCTGATAAACTATATGACCTGAGACAGCCACTTAGCTCCTCGGAGCCTCAGCTTCTTCCTCTGAAAACCGGGGCTGATGAGAATTAACCTGTCTACTCGGGTGTCATGAGGACTAAGGGAACTAATCCAGGTAGAGCACTGGCCACATACCTGACATGTCACCTGTTATTTCGGCACCAGCCCAGCCCACATGCCATCACCCGCCTCCCCTGTCCCCACAGAACCGCACATGGGGGTGGCCCGGGGGAGGGTGGGATGGGGAGGGGGTTCGAGTGGACCACGGGCCATTCAGATACCAGGTCAGGGAGGCTGGGGAGGGCCGTGCAATGGGTGCTGAGTGGGGAATGGGGCACCATGTGTCGGAAGGGGGGACACAGACACCATCCCCATGACCCGGTCACCGCGCAGGACCTCACCAGCCCACCTTCCCCCTCCCACCTCCACCCATCATCAGAGCCGGGGTCTCAGCCTCAGGATACAGTCGAGGTCCCCCCGGACAGACTGCTGCGCCCCAGTGAGCCAGAAGTGCCCTCTATGTGGGAGAGAGCACAGGCCTGGGAGGCAGGAGGCCGGGAATGGGCCCTGGGATCACAGTGGTGGCTCCGGACTCCAGCCTGTCTCTTCCTCCAGCCCCAGAGAGGCCCAGATCCCTTGAGTCTCCCCCAGACAGGCCTTCTCTCTGCTGTGGTCCCAGCACCCCAGAGCAGCACACACCAGGCCCAGGGAGGGGACGCAGGGCCAGGCAGCCGGGGCAAGAGCATCCAGGGACATCACCAGGGAGGAAGGAAGAGCAGGCCCTAGAGAGCCAGCGACTGTGTAGGTGAGATAGAGGGGGTCCCCGGGCTGCCCCACCCGAGGCTCTGTGGGAGCCACTTAGCATCTTTTCTGTAACTACTTCATTCTTGTCTTTTTCTTTCTTTAAAAAAAAAAAAAAAGATTTTATTTATTTATTCATGAGACACAGAGAGAGGCAGAGACCCTGGCAGAGGGAGAAGCAGGCTCCACGCAGGCAGCTGCATGCGGGACTCGATCCCAGGACCCCGGGGTCACGCCCTGGGCTGAAGGCAGATGCTCAGCCGCTGAGCCACCCAGGCGTCCCCATAGATACTTCATTCTTAAGATGCAATAGCAGGAGGAGAAGGGAGGATGGAGGAAAGGGGAGGAGGGGAGGGCAGGGGCAGGAGCACCATCCCACAGCCCTTGAGGAGGAGCCGCAGTGACCCCTGCCACCGCCCCACAGCCGGGCCCTGGGTCGTAGCCACCGTTCACGAGGCCCTCGAGCCCTGCCCTCCACCAAGTTCTGCGAATACGCCGAGGAGCCCCGTGGAGGTGCCCCGTGGAGGTCGGGGCAGCATTTCCATCCTGGACACAGAAGTCAGGTGCCCCGCCTGAGGGCAGCGAGCGGCCAGGCCGAGCCTGGAGCCCAGTTCTCACTTGTCCGAAGCCAAGCGCTCCTGGCCTCGGCCATCGATCTCCTCTCGGGCCTCCGAGACCGTGGCCTGCGCTAGCAGGTGCTCAATGAAGCACAGGTCAAAGGAGCGAGGGAGAGAGGGGGGAAGACAGGAAGAGAAGATCAGCCAGGGAGACTCTTAGGCCGCGAGGAGATGAATCCGGAGGTGCTGCTTCCCGGTGCCAGGATGGCACGCCGCCCAGGACGGCTGCCCTGCGCTCCGGGAGCTCACGGCCTGCGCTTGCCTCATCTTTTCCAGAAGTATGTGAGCCCAGATACGTCAGGCTTCAGGTATGCAGTGAGGTCTGTGGTGAGAGGTGCGCGCTCTCTCCCTGTCCGTCCTTCCTCCTCGGGCCTGGCCTGCCTCTGCCGCCGCCCCACCGCAGCCAGCCCACCAGCCAGCCCAGCCTTGCCCCCCACTCCCTGCAGCCGGGCCCAGCTCGGCGGGGGGGCCTGTGACCAGCCCCCTCAAGCGGGCAGGGCTCGGGCCCTGGGAGGAGATGTGTGCCTGGTGCCGGGGGAGGGGCAGGAGCATCGCATCATCTAACAGGTTGGTCGGGCTGGGAGGCGTCCCGCCCTCCTGGAGCTAATGAGCACTGTAGGACAGGTGTTTGCTCCTCAGTCCCCAGCCTGCCCTGCCTGCGACCAGAGCCAGCCGCCCGCCACCTCTCGAAGGCTCGCTCACATCCCCGCGCCCTCCCTCCCGCGTCCCGGGCCCGGGGGCCCGCGATGGCCTGCCGCTCCTGCGTCGTTGGCTTCAGCAGCCTCAGCAGCTGTGAGGTGACCCCTGCGGGCGGCCCCCGGCCTGGGACTTCGGGATGGGGCAGCTGCGGGACCCCCGGGCCAGGCTTCAGCTCCCGCAGCCTCACAAGCTGCGAGGCGGCCGGCACCATCCCCAAGGTAACCGTGAACTCCAGCCTGCTGGTGCCCCTGGACCTCAAAGTGGACCCAGCCATCCAGCAGCAGAAGAACCAGGAGAAGGAGGAGATGAAGGTCCTCAATGATAAATTTGCCTCCCTGATTGGCAAGGTGAGCAGACGTGGGGGGCGGGGGAGTCCTAAAAATGAAGGACGTTCAGACCTGGCCGGGTGGCTGGGCTCCGTGTTTCTGGAGCATCATGCCCCACCCCTGACCCCAGCCAATGAGGCGCAGGCAGGCGGGCTCTGGACAGAGCTGGAAGCCCTGAGCCGCCCGCCCGGGCACTGGGGGAGAAAGAGGCCCCAGGACGGCTCCCAGGGATGTCTGGGCAACAATGTGCTTCGTGGGTTGGGGTCACTGTCCCCCTGGGGGGACACCAGCGGGGAGCCCCAAGTGTGGCCAGGAGGATACCCTCTCATCGGAATGGCTGCTAGAGCCGTGCTTTGCCATCCAACCCCGAGGCAGGGGGGCAGAGATGGGCTCCCGAGGGCCCACCCCCTTCCAGGCCTTGGCGCCGCTCAGCTTCCCGGGGCCAGAAGCGTCAGCGGGGCGAGCGGAGCACGTGGTGCCTCCAGAAGGAGGCTGAGCAGCAGGAAGGCCGCGGCAGCATGTCAGGAGATAGGAATGCAGAGAATCGGTGTCGCGAGTCAGAAGCAGACGGGCAGCCAGGCCTCCGCGGCCCCCACGGCCCAGAGGGAGTCAGTCCCCAGACCCCCACGCGGGTGTGGCACTGCTGTCCGTCCCCGCCGCGGGGCAGGAGCTCCGAGAGCTCCCAGGGAGCCCTGCCCGCCTCCCGAGCCCACTCCCCACTCCCCTCCGCCGGGAGACTCCCCCGAGCGGCCCCCAGCTCTGCCCCCCGCCTTGTGGCATGACCGTAAGCATCATGGGAGCAACAGCTGCCTTCACTGCTGACCGCGTGCCAGGCACCGTGCAGGATGCCTCACGCGTTTACCTCCGTTTCCTTCGACAACCACATGGAAGGAGTCACCTTGTGCCCACTGACAGATGAGGAAACCCGACCTCTCCCTCCTGCTCAGTAAACCAGAGCCCGTCCTCTGCCCCTGCCGCAGGCCTGGTCTGCGTTGTCCCCCCGGCCCGGGCCCCGCCGTGTGCTGCTGGGTGGGCACCGTGGGGAGGGGCAGAGGGAAGGAAGGGACGCGTGCGGAGCATCTGCCCGTGCCCAGCTCTCTGCGGCAACCTTGCAAACGTGCGCCGCTGGCCCCCACAGCACGCTCCCCGGTGCCTATTTCCCCTACTGTAGAGACGCGGCGACAGCGTCCCGAGGTTCAGGGCCTTGCCCAGGGTCATGCTACCACCAGGTATACAGTCTGGACTTGACCTCGGGTCCGTGGGCTTATCTCCCTCTCCCCGCAGCTCACGTGCCCAGACCAGCGTTCCTGTGCCCACACCCTGGGGTGACCGAGGGTTGTGGGACGAGGCTGGGAAGTGACAGCTGCAGAAGGACAACCATCCACTGAGGTGGCACGTTCCCTCCCGCGGGGCCCCGGCCTGGCCGGCTGTGCAGAGCCCTGGGCCGCTGGGCCGTGTGCCCCAGGAAAACAGCCTGCTGCCCTGGGGAGGCAGGTCCCTGCAGAGCCACCTCCTCCGAAACCGCTTTAATCCCTTAAAAGGAATGCTTGGTGAGCTATGTAATTTGGCTCTGACGGGTGGCTTTCCTCTGAGCGCCAGGGCTGATATCACCCTGCGCCTCAGCCATGGGGACAGGACGGGTACGTGGGCACAGGGAGGGGGCCAAGGGGCTGGGGCTCGTGCCCAGGGGCCAGGGTAGGATGCAAGGAGTGCCAGCCTCTTGGGGACCCTTTATAGGGGACTGGAAAGAAGTGTGTGGGCCTGGGAGCCAGAGGCCATGCCCAGTGCACGGGTGGGGGCTCTAGGCAAAGAGGAGAAGCAGGCAGAGTAGCCCTTCAAGTCCACGGCCCCTCTGGGCCCTCTGAGGCGCCAAGAGAAATCAGGGAGTACTAAGGAGGAGGAGGAGGAGGAGGAGGAGGACGGGGGGTGACCCCCCGGAGTCGGCCGAGGGTCCCCGGAGAGCAGTCAGTGTTGGGCCTCCACTTGCAGGCTGTTTCCGTAAGCAAGCCCCTCACCGCCTCCCTGCTCTGCTGCTGCTCTGAACGTGGCCCTGAGCTCAGGCCAGTGGAAGGATGGGTGGGGGCACAGCCCTTGAGAGGGCAGCAGGAGGGGAGGTTGAGGCAGGGCCAGCAGCCCACATAAGGAGGCGGCGAGAAGGGAACCTGAGAGGGGTGTTGAAACGCCTGGACACAGAGGGACGGACGGCCACAGCGTCTGCCCGTGGGCCTGTGTGGCCTCTGGAAGTCGCCAGAGCCACCATGCAGTGGGCACCTGCATGCACAGGGGCACACAAACAAGCCCTTCCCGGCTGGCAGGGGACTTGACAACTGACAGCCATCCCCCAAGGAGGGAGAAGGACCCGCGTGCCCCGGGGTCCCCACTCTGGAAGCTCGCCTGCGGGGACCGTGCGCTGGGGATCCGAAGCCTCCATCCCCGGGAGCCGCCAGCCGGGAGCCTCAGCCTGGGCTGCTCGGCTCCCTCTGTCCCCACCCCGGTCTGGGCCTGCTCTGCAGACGGGTGGGGGAGCTGGGCCTCGGTGAGTGCTGTGCTTCTGGGCCTCAGTTTCCTCACCTGTAAATGGGAGGCAGGTAGACGAGGGGTTTGCTCTGTGAGGCCCCTCCTAGAGCTGCCACCTGCCATGTTAGGGCGGGGGTGGGGTGGGGGAGGCCAGAACAGGGAGGAAGGGGACTTGAGAGGTGAGTGTGCAGCAGCCTTGACAGGTTAGAGCAACGAACTGCGTACCCAGCCCTCCCTGGGCCTTTGTTCCGGAGAGGGAGGAGCCTTGCACACCGGGAAGGTCCTGGACAGGGGATGAGTTTCCATCCCCACCCACTGAGACGACAAGAAACTCCCCCGATGGCAGCAGGGGAAAGGGCTGCCCCATTCTTGCCACCACAGGTGCCCTCTGGCTGGCCTGGTAGCCAAAGGCGCGCCTCCTCCCGGCGGGGCCGTAGGGAAGCCCGGGGCCAAGGGAAGGACGTCCTGGGTGCAGGGTGTGTGCTGCTGGGGTGGAGGAAGGAGCCGCACGCCTCTCCCGTCACCTCGCCCTCAGTGTAAACACACGGCTCTGGCTTGTCAAAACCCAAGGAAGGCGGGGTGCGCACCTATCTGCCCCCCCAGCGAGCCCTCTCACACACGCAAGACAGAAACCCTCTCACGGTCGTGCCGACGGAACCTGTTCGGCTGTGCCAGCAGCGGGCCGGCCCCACAACGTCCGGGGCAAGCGGGAGCTAAGCGGGGGAACGACAGCCCACAAAGGCCGTCGCCCAGTCCTCCAGCTGCCGCTGCCCGATGCCGATGCCAAAGGGGACCCCTCGAGGATGTTGGGGTGTCATGGGAAAACCCAAAAGGATGTGGGCAGGACGGGAAGAAAGAGGAGGGCCCACCTGGCAAACCAGATTCAGGAGGAACAGGGAGTCCCTGAAGGTCCAGGGTGGGCAGCGGCCACCAGGCGGGGAGGTGTGGCCCGCAAGCTGCCCTAGGGACCCCGGACAGGTCCCCAGACCACCCTGGGCCCCCACCTCCCCGACTGTAGGTGGAGAGTTAAACCAGGCGATCCGCAGGGCTCCTGCTTCTGATGCTCTGAAGGGGGCTCTTCCAGCTGTGACTGGGGGGCTGCTGGCAGCGGGCAGGGGGGCGGCCAGCCGCTCGCTCGTGCCTTTAGGGAACATCGGGGCGCCCGCCCAGCCAGTGTCTCCCAGCTGCCCCTGGCGTGGGCGCCCTAACCGTAGGGTCCCAAGAAGAGAGCAAGTGGTTCTTGGCCTGGCGGGGAGGGTGGCAGGTCAAGACAAGTGAGGGTCTCATCAGGGAGGGGCGCCTCTCTTGAGCTGTGATTCTAGGAGGCTTCCTGCAGGAGGGGGACCTGGGAGCACAAACGGGGAGGGACGGAGGGACGGGGAAGGTGGGGAAGACAGAGGACGGCTGGAGCCTGGAGAGGACAGGGCCTGGGCTGCCCCGTGTGGGGGGAAGGAGAGGATTCGAGGGGAATCCTGCCTGCGAGCCGCAGCCGGGACGGGAGCCGCCGTGGGAGGCCCTGCAGCCGAGTGAGCAGGAGAGCGGGAGGGAGGCAGCTGCGCCCGGAGCCCTCGGCCGTCGCACCCTCGAGGCCACGCGGGCCCCAACCAGAGGCAGAAGCCAGTCCGGGAAGGGCAGGGGGCGTCCCAGGGCCCAACGCGACACTGGCCTGTGGGGTCGTAGGTTGAGAGATTCTAAGCCCCGACTGCCCTGGATTCCACCCCTGGCTCTGCCACTTGCTAATTTTGTGACCTTGGGCAAGTCGTCCAACCCCTCTGCGCCGTGTGGCGGCGGACACCGTACCTAGCCCGTCAGGTTGTGGGATGTAATGAGGTGAGGCCGTCAAGCGTGCAGAGCAAGGCCTGGCGCACAGTAGGGAACCCGTAAACACTCGCTTCCTCTCCCCATCAGCCCTGAGAGGTGGCCCGGGCAGGCCGTGTCCTTCCCAATTTCTAGCCGGGGAAACTGAGGCTTGGCGAGGCTACAAGTCCAGGGCCGTGGGGAGGATTACCAGCGAAGGACGAGCCGAGCTTCCTCGGCAAGATGAGACTAGGCTTGTCGGGTGCTGCGGGGAGCTGGGCCTCTGACACCTTACTTTCCCCGGGGTCTCCCACCCACGCCCCAGGCGGGCGCAGACGGCCTGTCGCCTCATTGGCACATTTGGCCCCTCCCCTTTCTGATTCCCTCCTTATCTCGCCATCTTCTGTTTGAACCATAAGGAGCTGGAGATGTGATCCGACTGCGTGTGCGGCCCGCGGGGTGGTGAGCACGGAGCAGATGAGCTGCCGCCGCCCGGGGACGCCCCCATGCGGGCAGGCCTGCTGTCCCGGGGCCCCCGCGCCCGCCCTGTGCACGCCGGACCCTCTCACCGCCGCCCCCCTACTCTCCCAGGTGCAAGCCCTGGAGCAGCGCAACCAGCTGCTAGAGACCCGCTGGCGCTTCCTGCAAGGCCAGGACTCGGGCACCTTCGACCTCGGGCACCACTATGAGGAGTACCAGGGCCGGCTGCAGGAGGAGCTGCGCAAGGTGAGCCAGGAGCGGGGACAGCTGGAGGCCAACCTGCTGCAGGTGCTCGAGAAGGTCGAGGAGTTTCGGATCAGGTACGGTGCGTCCTGCAGGGGGCCGCGGGCGGGGACTCAGGGTGCCCAGATGCCCAACCTGCGCCCAGATGCAAGGCCCAGGGCACCCGGGAACACGTCTTGACTACAGACGTGCTTCCCGAGGTCCTACTATGTGCCCGCCAGGACTCAAAATACGGGGAGGATATGGCGGTGAGCCCACAGCAACCCTCCCTGATAGTGCCTCTTGCAGCAAAGTCGGTCTTAGGCGGATGGACAGCTAGGCCCTGTGCCTGCCGGGCCTGGCACCATGGCAGTTCCCGTCCCCTGCCCCCCTCCTGTGCCCGGCTCCCGCCCGTGCATTCCACTGGCCATGAGAAAGCGTCGCCAGCGGGAGCAACAGATGGGCTCCTGCCGCAGATGCGGTCTGGAAACTGGCTCTCGAGCGGGCTGGAAAGGGAAGCAGAGTTGGCAGGGGCAGAGCCGGTGGGGCTTTGGGCTAAAGAAGCAGTGCCCTGTAGGTGACGCCCGCCGTGACCTCAGTGGTCTCCTAGCGATCTGGGGACACGGGGAAGTCACAGCCCCAGCCTGCGAGACGCTCCTAGACGGGAAGGGCTTCGCTGCTGGCCTCCAGCCCTCACCAGCTCTGCGACCTCGGGCAGGTCGTCAACCTCCGAGCCTCAGTATCCCCCTGTGTGCAGTGGGGATGCCGATGCTGATCCATCCTGAGGCTGGCATGAGGAGGAAGTGGGGAGCTCGGCGCAGGGCCCGGCAGCCTTAAATGGCAAGCCTTCTACCCCCGCCCCCCGGAGGGCTGAAGCACCTGGCACACAGTGGTCCTTGGCACAGGGTTGCTGAACCGAACTGGGCAGTCGGGAGAGGCAGGTGCTTGGGTCCCTCGGAGGAGAGGTGGCGTCTCTGGCCCCACAGCGGGCAGGGCTTCAAGGACCAGGAGGCTGAGACACAGCAGAGAGGCTGGCTGTGCCCTTGTGCCCCTTCCTCTGGTCTGGTCTTTTTTTTTTTTTTTTAAGATTTTATTTATTTATTCATGAGAGACAGAGACAGAGAGAAGCAGAGACACAGGCAGAAGGAGAAGCAGGCTTGATGCAGGGAGCCCGATGTGGGACTCGATCCCGGGACCCCAGGGTCACGCCCTGAGTCAAAGGCAGACGCTCAACCACTGAGCCACCCGGGTCCCTGATCTGGTCTCCTTTTGAAGAGGCCGCCGGCCTGGGTGTGGGAGGACGGGATGTGCCTGAACCCACCCCTCCCCTCCTCCAGCACTCGCCCGGCCCCGAGCCCTGCCAACCCCAGGTGAGGCCTGCAGCCTTGGGAACAGCCAGCCAGGTGGGGCTCAGGCAGCCTGTCAGGAGTCCAGGGATCCACCCGTCCGTGTGACCCACCCCTCCATGCTCAGGCCATATTCAGAGGGGATGGTCAGGTGAAGCTCTCCACACTCTGCGGGGGAGCCTCAGTTTCCTCATCTGTGGGTCTAGCTGGAACTTTCTGGCCAACAAGCATGACCTGCAGCCCTGGCCTGGGCTCCTCCTCACGGCTGGGCCCCTCCACGGCCTAGGGGCCGCCTCTCCCCCGCCCCGCCCCTGCTCTGCCCTATGAGCTCCTACAGAAACCCACAGGGAACCCCGCTGCCCACTCTGAGCTGCCCAGCTCCACGCCTGGCCGTGATGAGGGGAATCATGTGGGCACCAGGACCCAAGATTGGTTTCACGGTTATCCAGCAGCCCTTTGGTCCTCGAAGAATCAGAGAATGGCTGGATGGGGGCCTGGGGGCTGGATGGGGGCCCGGGATCCTCCTTTCACAGGGAGGGAAATGCAGGCCCAGAGAGAGGGCAGGGGGCGGTCCACAGCCACAGGGCTGTGAGTGCTAAGTGTCACCCCCAACCCTCGCCACCACGGCGTGAGGCCGCCCCTGTGAGCCCAGCCGGGTCACATCCACGGGTATGTGTAACTGGAAGCTCTGTACAAACGCTGCTTGTTGCTTTAATCCGGTTCAGCCTCCTCATTTGGCCTGCCGCCCGGTTTCCCTCTGCGCCCTGAGCTTGCTATTTGGGCCCAGGGCCTGTCTCCCCGTCTCCGGGTAGGAAACCCACCAGGCTTGGGGGAGGTGAGGTTGGAGGGCTTCTAGAGCCACAGGCCAGAGCCAGGGAAGCTGCAGCCTGGCTGTGTAGAGCCTGGGGGCAGGGGGCCCAGGAGCCAGGAGACGCCAGGCCAAGCCCTGACAGGGAGGGGTGCGCCCTGCTTCTCCGAGGAGGCCGATGAGATCAGCTTCAGTCCTAGAAATAAACAAGTCATGGGGGTGGGGGGGGGTTGGGGAGTGGCAGGGGGAGCGGGGGCCCGGGTGGGTGTGACAAGCTGGAAAGGGCTGAGAATGGATTTGGGAACCGGTGGCTGGCAGACTGGCAGGGCACTGGGGGTGGAGTAGGGGAGATGGCATTTACCCAAGTCTCGGTAACGATAGAGACTTCCAAAAGCTTTGATGTCTCCGGGACCCCAAGGATCGGCTAGCTAAGCCTTGTATTTAGTAAGGATGAAGCAGAGGCCCGACAAGGGGAAACCACTTGCCAAGGCGACACAGCAAGTGACTCAGGGGTGCCGTGTACAGTCGTGCAGGAGGCTCACTGCACAAGAGCATCTGGTCGAGGGGGTGAAGTAGGGCTGAAATCCAGTAGAGTTGGTGACAAGGGAGGAGGGAAGGTATACGGAAGGATGGGAAGGATGGTGAGGGGTAAGGAGGAGGTTCGGCAGCTCAGAACCCCCACACACACACTGGACAGCTCTCCCCAAGGTCCTGCCCTCGACCAGAATGAACTCTGCTGTCCAGACGGGAGGGGAGAAGGGGAGAGCCTTGACCACTGGGCCTACATGGGGAGGGCCAGCCAGCGAGGAGCTTCCCAGCTTAGGGCTCCCTAGACCCCCTGCCCCCAGGGCAGGGAAGACCTCAGAGGCCTCCAAATTCCCAATGGGGAGTCTGGGATGGAAGTGCCGAGAACCCCAACGAGGCTTCCCACGGTTTGTCTCCAGGAATGCTGCAGCCGAGGCAGAGGGGTTGAGAGCCAGGGTGTTAGAGCGGAGCTCAGGTAGTAATAATGGCTTCAGCGGGTGCCAAGCCTTATGTCCTATACCCTCGCGACGTCGCTGCTGTGCAACTGAGGTGCACACAAGCGGCCCGCCCGAGGCCACGCGGCCAGGCAGCAAGGAGCCGGGATCCAAGCCCTGGAGCGTGGCTCTGGAGCCCACTTGCGCAGGAAAGGGTGCGAGTAAAGCTTCCCGGGCATCTCGTGAGCCCCGGGAGGCCCCAGACCGCAGACCGGTCTCCCTGGCCCCCCCTCCACGCCACGCCCCTGACCCGTGTGTCCTGAGAGCCCCTTGCCGGCTCTGGGGAAGCCAAAGCGGCAGCCACGGCGAGTGTGCACCATGCACACGGAGTCCCGGACACCCGGGGCCTGGGGGGCTCTTACCAACTCGGGTCTGCTCCCCTCAGCTTCTCACATCAGGCTGGTGGAGAAGGCCTGAGTGCTGGCAGGTGCAGCCAGCGGACGTGGGTGCCGGCCGGGGCGACACGGCCCCGCCGTGAGGTCGGTGACCCGGGCAGGCGGGCGGCAGGCGGCTGTAATTAGAGCCGCCAGTGATTCAGGCCTTCCCTGGAACGGAGGGAAGAAAAGGAAGCCGCGGGTTCCCCCATCCGCTGAGGGCGCAGGGCTGAGGTTGAGGAGCCGGTGGGGGGCAGACACATACACCCCCCCCCGGGGCGGAGCGCAGGGGGGGGCACGACAGAGGTTTGATTAGAGGAAGGGGTTAAGGTCAGAGACCGCGTCTCCCACCCAACAGCATCCTTGTGTTGGGCCCCGAGTAAGGAGGATGCAAATCTAAGGAGAGAGGGAGCTCACCTCTGTCGAGTCTGGACGGTGCACGTGTGTCACTGTACCAGGGCGGGCTGGGGCCGCCACACACGGGCACACGCACACACCCCGGACAGACGGGCGAGCCCAGGAAGGAGGGGGCAGCGAGCGGCCTGCCCGAGAACCCAGTGTGCGTCCCTCTGGCTGCAACGTCCACGCTCTCCCCTCCGGAGGGAACATGACAGAACCGTGTCCTGCCAGAGAGGAGGAGGGGAGGAGGGAGAGGGCGGGCTGGGGGCAGACAGCGCGGGGCAGCCTCCGCAGACTCCACCAAAGGCGCCGCTTGCTGGAAATGGAGATTCTTGGGGGCAGGAGATAGGGAAAAGATGAGAGAACAAAGTTGGGGCGAGAGAGCTGTGCAATCAGGAGAGGCTCCCTGGAGGAGGTGAATGTGAGGAAGAGCCAGGAAGGGGATCGAGGCGCCCTCGGGAGAGGACTGGCTGACGGTGCAGGAGGAGCGAGGCAACGGGAAGCTGGTTTGCCTGCTCCCCGGGCCCGTGCCGGGTGTGGGTGTCAGGCTCAGCAGGGATGCGTCATAGGAGATGAGGGGCTGCAGCCCCGGGGCGAGGGCCACTTTTTCCTCCTTGGCACGAGGCACCCAGGGGACAGCAGAGGCCCCGAGCCCCGCTCCGGGGGCTCCCGGGGGGTTAATCACACCCCAAGCTCTCTCCTCTCTCTCTCTGCCCCCCCGCACCCCCCCAGGTATGAGGAGGAGATCTCCAGGCGCACAGACATGGAGTTCACCTTCGTGCAGCTGAAGAAGGTAGCCCGCCCGCCTGCCCCTGGGGCTCCCTCCTCAGGGCCCTCTGCCCTCCCTCCCTCCCTCAGGCTCCCGGGGAAAGCAGACAGACCCGAGGAGCTGCCCTCGCCCCACGCCTCCCCCGGGAACCGCCCCCCCCGGAGATGGGCACCCCTCTCTTGCCGTGGGACCCCTCCCGCCCCGGCACTCAGCCGCCTCCCACCCCCAGGACCTGGATGCCGAGTGCCTTCGTCGGACCGAGCTGGAGACCAAGCTCAAAGGCTTGCAGAGCTTCGTGGAGCTGATGAGAAGCATCTACGAGCAGGTGAGAAGACGGGGCCAGTGTCCCCTGAGCCAAGAGCCGACCTGTCCCCAGGTAAGGGAGGCGTCCGGCGGGGCATGGAACCCTCCACAGTCCCTCACCTTTTCTGGCCACGGATGGAACAGTCTTGAACCCCTTCCCCCGCTGCTGTCACTAACCCAACACGCCCCCTCATCCCTCATCTCACGGAGCACAGGCAAGTGCCCAAGAGGCCTCTTGCTGGAGGAGAGCCCTTTTCTCCAGCGCGGAGGGCCCGCGGAGCCCGCGGGGGGCCGGTGCCTCCAGGCAAGGGGGGGAAGTGGCCTGAGAGGCAGGGACCCGGGGGATCTCGAGCAGCCTGAACTAATCTCCCCCCACCGATGCGACCCAAAGGCAGACGCCCACAGGCCTGGCTGGGACAGACGTGCCCGTCACCCTCCCCTGCTTGGGGCTCGGGGTGGGGGGAAGACCTGCAGTCAGATTCCTTGGTTCCCAGACGATGCTAGCATCTCCCAGAACAAAAATGACCCTGTAAATGCAGACAGAGGAGCCTCCAGATACCTTTTGGTTTGTCCCTAAGCCCTCAGCTGAGCTTGGGGTGGGGTGCGGGGGGGGACGACAACAGTGACCCACAAGGCCTAGGGCACTGCCAGCGAGCACAGTCTGCAGATGGGCCCCACTGTGGGCTGTGCACGCTTCCCCTCCACCTCCGGATGCCCTCCCGAGAGCCGGTCTTCTCTCCAGGTCCCCAGTTGGGGAGCGAGGAGGTACGGGGACCGGGATTCAGTTCGGCCGGAGCTGGGCATGCAGGACTGGGAGGCTGCGTGCTGCAGCCCCCGGGTGCCGTGCTAGGGCAGCGCAGCCAAGAGCAGAGCAGGGACCAACGTCAATCACAAAGTTCTGCTGAACCTGGGCGGGGGGAGGAGGGGGGGGTGCTGCCTGGGTGGCTCAGTTGGTTAAGCGCCGGACTCTCGGTTTCAGCTCAGGTCATGATCTCAGGGTCGTGGGATGGAGCCCCCCACGTGGGGCTCTGCACTCGGCGGGGGTGTCTGCTTGAGATCCTCTCTCTCCCTCTCCTTCTGCCCCTCCCCTCGCTCTCTCTCTTTCTTCCTCTCTCTCAAATCAGTAAATCTTTAAAAAATACAAATTAAATTAAAAGTCCTGCTAAAATGGCTCGAGGGGCTGCTGACCACAGCTTGGTGGCCTCGTCCTGTGGAGCGTCCCGGACGTTAGGCCTCGGGGCTGCATATGGGCCAGCGGGTCGGGCCCCCACTGGGGTTCCGGGGCCTGCTGACTGGCCTGAGAAGGGGCCTAGGAGTTCCTCCGCCCCGACTCCCCGCAGAGCCAGGCCTCAGAGCCAGTGTTTCAGGATCCCCACTTGGCTCTGTGCCTCTCGGGGAGCCCAGGGCCCGAGCTCCCAGTCGGGACAGAGGCCCTGCCGGTGCAGACCCTGGCTGGGGGTAGGCCAGGCGCGGCCAGCGATGGGCCCGGGCACACCACGAGGCTTCTTGGCCCCTGCTCCATTTGGATCCAGCAGCCGTTGCACCCCACTCCTGACTCTTTCTTCTCTTCCATTTCTGTGGCTTTGGGCAAGTTATTTCGCCTCTCTCTGCCTCCGTTTCCTCATCTGTAAAACCAGTTTCCTCAGCATAATACCAGGCTGGTTCCTACATGCATTCATCCATCTAACAAACGTTCACTGCCCGCCTGCCGGGTGCCTAGCACTGATCTCACAGCAGGGAGCATGCCGGGCACAGTCCACGCTCTCGGGGGGCCTCCGCTCAGTTAAGAGGGGACAAGTGATAAGCAAGTACACAAACATCTGAGCAAGACCATTTGGGAGAGTGAACAGGGCCGAGTTGCAAGGAACCCCACGGAGGGGATGGTCAAGGTCGGGGGCGTCCCAGAGGAGGTACGACTGAGGGGAGGCCCAGACGGGGGAGGTCCAGGCCCGTGCAGAGCTGAGAGGGCTTCGGGCAGAAGCGGGGCCTCTGCAAGCACCTAAGGCAGGGGCGAGTCTGGTGATGAAGGGGGGAGGCAGGGGCAGCTGTGGCTACAGCAGAGCGGGCAAGGGGTCGGCACACATAGGGCCTCGGGGCCCGAGTCAGGGTTTGGACCTCATTCTAAGTGCAATGGGTGCTTCTGGGGGTCCTGCGGGGGGTGGTATGGATGCGTAACAGTATGGCTCGTGCCGGCAAGGCCATGCTGTGGAGAAGGACCGCCGTGGACGCGGGGTTGCTCCGTGCATAGAGCACTGATTACCCCTCTGGGAGGCAGCAAGGTGCCAAGGTGGCGTCGGCTCTGAGGGTTGCAGTCCTCTCCGGGGACCACTGCGGGCTGGGAAGGCAACACTGATCCTACGCTACAAAGCTTCCCCCCACCAGGGGTCTCTAAGCTGGCGCTACGAGAACTGTAACAGGAGAGCCACATATGTAATTGTCGTTCTAGAGGTGACTTTTTTTTTTTGAGGATTTTATTTATTTATTCATAAGACCCAGAGAGAGAGGCAGAGACACAGGCAGAGGGAGGAGCAGGCCCCATGTAGGGAGCCCGATGTGGGACCAGGATCACGCCCTGGGCTGAAGGCAGACACTCAACTGCTGAGCCACCCAGGCATCCCTAGAAGCCACATTTAAAAAAATTTTAATTTTAATGATGCAGTTTACCTCAGCCCAATATATCCAAAATGTAATCAGTCACCATGGGATCCATACAGAAAAATTAACAGGCTGTCCTGTAATCTTTTCTCATGCCAAGTCTCCAAAATCGGGGATGCGTTTTACACCTACAGCTCCTCTCAGCTCTCACGAGCCACCTTTCAAGTGCTCACGACCACCTGTGGCTCGTGGCTACCGCAGGGGACCAAGCAGGTGTCAGCAAAGGCGGGTGCCAGCCCTGGCTACCTCGGGTGAAAGGAAAACACAGCCTGATGGGAGTAGCCCTGGGAGGGCCGGACACCCCAGCTCCACTCTAGAGCAGACACCAGGTCTGAAAAGCACGGCTTGGAGGCCCACCTCTGTGTTTCAGAAAACAGAGCTTCCCTTGTGCCAACACACACACGCACACACACACTCAGGGCCTCATGCATACGCTGCAGCCTCCCGAGCAACCCCTCTGCCCTGCGGCTCCAGGGACATGAGCCGGGGAGAGCACCCCGGGGCCCACACTTCCCCCTGAGTGTCCAGGGCACACCCCAGCTCCCCGGCGCCCTTGGGGCCTGGCTGCCTCCAGCCAGAACACCACCTGCCCCACCCACAAGCTCTTGCTCCAGGGAGACCAGCTGTCCCCACCCACCCTGCAGCAGAGTGCACCTCCCAGAATGCCCTTCACTGCAAAGAGAGCCTGGAGTGTCTACGCTGCTCTGGCGCCTGCCTTCGTAGCACCAGGGAGGCTCCTCCAGGAATAGGCTGGTCACTTCGCCCCCAGCTTCTCACCTGTTACAAGAATAGCATCCTCGGCTACTATTTATTGAGCACCTGCTACACCCCCAGGCCCCACGTCAAGTGCTTTCCAGGTGTAATCTCACTTACTCCTCACGGCAACCCTAAGAGGGTAGGGATAATGACTAAGAGAGCACGAGCTCTAGGGCAGCGTGGATCTGAATCCCAGCTTAGCGGTTCCATGAGCTCCAGCACGTTCTTTTCTCTCTCTGTATCTCAATCTCCCTGTCTGTAAAGTAGGGAAAATAGCAGAGCCTGCTCCCCGGCCTGTTATGGGGATCTGCTTGTCAGTACATCCTAAAGCTTGGTGAATATTAATAAGTGTTAGCCGGTGAGAAAACGGGGGCTAAGAGAGGACTAGGGACCTGGCCAGGGTCGCGCGGCTAATAAGCAGTGGTAGTGGGCAGGGCCTGGTGCCATCGGGCACTATATTTTACCGAGCAGCAGCACACTAAGCTCCCAGGTGCCGCCTACCCTAACCCGTGGACCACAGAGGGTTGGTCACACGCGTGCCAGTCTCCTCAGGCTCCGGCTCCCAAGAGAAGCTCTCAGCCGCACCTTGGCTCGATTCTTGCCGACTTGGAAGCACGCATCCCCCCTAGGGCCCGGCCCACGGTGGCAGCGCACAATCCAGCATTGTTATACCCTCTGCGGCCCAGCAGGCGCCGGCGTGCCTGAACAGGTCTGCAGGCGTCCTGAACCCTCCATTCCTCCTCCTGTTTACCAGGCTCAGGCTTCCCTGCCCCTCTCCGGAAAGGACCCGAGGCCGCTCCATCAGCTCCGTTTCGCCAATCCCTTCTTCCTGCCCGGAGAGGCCCTCCTCCGGTATTTCCCACAGCGCCCTGGCTTTTTTCCTGGCCCGTAACAGATGCCAACCCAGGCATGGGCTAGAGGGCTCGATCTGGTCCCGATGCCCACCGACCCCCATTGCAAGGAAGTCACAGAGCTGCATCCCTGAAACTGTCCGCAGCCAAGCCCTGGCTGGTGTAACAGGTGCCATGTAGGAAATGTCAGCCTCTCGTGGGCACCTGAGCAGTGGAAGTGGGACATGAGTCTTAGGTACCATCAACCTTGTTCCGCCAAGGGGCCGGGCTGCCCCCTGCCTTCACCCAGAGATGTCAGTTAAGTTCATTTGAAGACTGACTAAAATCCTGCATCAGGAGACCTCGAGGGGGCAGCTGGCCACTAGGCTCAGAGTCCTGTGAGCCCCAGGATAGAGACAGGTTGTCCCCAGCTAGGCCTTTGCCTTAAGCTTCCTTTTGCAGGAGCCGGTCCTTGTCACCAGGGACGCTGATGGGGAGGGTCCGGCAGCTAGCAGACAGGGGAGGGGCGGCCCCCCTACCCCCATCCACCCGAGGCTCTAGCTGACCTGGCCGACCCCGCGGGGTGACGAGCTATAGGTCAGAAGCACCTGCCTCTGCTGGTGTAGGCTCCAGGGGGCTCTCCACAACCTCTCGGTGCACAAAGACAGACCCAGGGTCCAGAGGGAGCCCAAAGTCAGCAACCGAGGTCAGAATAGTCATGAGACACATACTGAGCCTGGATCTGAGCAGGCCTCAGCTCCAACCGCGGGTCTCCAGGAAATGGGTGGGGCGGACAAAAAGGTTCAACACCAGCACTGGGTGCAATCAGTAAAACCCAGACTATGTGGAATGCAACAAGGCAAGCGACCCGGTGTTCTCAATGAGAAAAATAGCCAAGGGGGGACGGAGGGAGGGAGAGAGAGAGAGAGAGAGAGAGAGAGAGAGAGAGAGAGAGAGAGATGGAGAGAGAGAGAGAGATGGAGAGGCAGCTATAAAATGAGAGACTTAGAGACCTATGGACCAATTGCAATATATGGATCCTCTTTGGATCCTGATTCAAACAAACAAGCAAAAGAAAAGAAGAAAAGAAAAGAAAAGAAAAGAAAAGAAAAGAAAAGAAAAGAAAAGAAAAGAAAAGAAAGAAAAAAAAGAAAAGAAAAGAAAAGAAAAGAAAAGAAAAGAAAAGAAAAGAAAAAAGAAAAAGAGAAAAGGAAGGAAGGAAGGAAGGAAGGAAGGAAGGAAGGAAGGAAGGAAGGAAGGAAGGAAGGAAGGGGAATATAGGTGAGGCAATCAGAAAAATGGGAACAATGAGCAAAACTTGCTGAACGAAGTACTTAGGTGAAGGTCCGGGTGGACTGTGAAGGGCACAGGTAGGAGTCCCTGAGCGCCCCACACCCTCCCTCCGGGCGCCTGCCCCCTCCCTGCCACCTGACTCACTCAGCCAGTGCAGTGCTGGCCTCAGCCGCTGGCTCCTCCTCCCCGCCCCAGCCCTGCCAGCACCTCCTGGGGACGCCGCCCAGGCCTGAAAGGTGACACCTGCAGCCCCGTAGGAAGCCCCCTGTCCCCACCTGCCTCTCCAGGCACCCCTGGGCATTCAGGCCCTACAGCTGTCCGTCGTCGGGCTCCGGCCTGGGGCTAGAAAGACAGACCGAGGCTCCGCCCTTGGCCCTGCCGGCCTGAGGGACCTTACAGGAGCAGCAAGGACTCTGGGGACCCCTCTGCGCCCACACTGTCTCCATAGACTCTGTGCCCGCTGGCTTTCCCCTCTGTAACGGGGGCTAGCGGTCGCCGTGGGGCCTGGCAAGGACACCTAGAAGGCACCCAGCACGGAGCCTGACCTATAACGGGCCCCCCCTCCGCCCGCCGGGGGAAATGAGAGGGGTTACCCTTCCGGGGCTCTCTGAGGATGCAGGCTGGCATTTTCTAAGCAGAGAAAAAGGACAGGGAACAAGGGAGCCTAAAGGATGGGGAGACGACGGAAATATTAGGGCCAAACCGCATCACTGTGGTAGGCAAGCTGGTCAGCCAGGTGGGGAGGGGCCCGAGTACCCAGGGTGGCCGCGATGTCACCTCGGCCTCTGGCCCTGGCCAGGGGGGCAGGGAGTACAGTTTCATCAGCCTCCAGCCCCACTCCTGCCCCTCATTGCTCATGGGTTCCTGTCCCAGTACCTTCTCCACGAACTGAGCCTCCAGCTTCCAGATTGGGAGAGGCAGGCAGACCTCTGGGTCCCAGACCTTCAGGAGCCCCCATCGGGGGCAGGGGCTAAGCCTCACCCACTGAGCCATAACGGGGCAGGGAGGCCTGAACCCTCCCAGGCCAGGCATCCACCAGGCAGAGAGGGTCCCACCTCGGGAGGACGGGGACGCAGAAGAGAAACAGGCTCACAGGGTGAGCCCCCGGAGGCAAGAACCCCTCGCTGCCCGGCCCCCTCCACCCAGGGGGACACCAGGCTGTGGGTGAGCCTGGTGGTGAGCTGCGTCTCAGAGTCGGAACCAGGGCGAGGGGCAGGGGGGCGGTAACGTGGGGTCATCTGTCTGGGAGATGGGGGGCCACGCTCCACTGCCCTGGGGATGTTGGTGCCCCCCACCCGCCCTGAGCCCCCGTGTCTGCGCCCGGCCAGGAGCTGAAGGACCTGGCAGCCCAAGTGAAGGACGTGTCGGTGACCGTGGGCGTGGACAGCCGCTGCCCCGTGGACCTGAGCGGCATCGTGGAGGAGGTGAAGGTGCAGTACGACGCCATCGCGGCCCGCAGCCTGGAGGAAGCCGAGGCCCACTCCCGGAGACAGGTTGGGGTGCGGGCTGGGGGTGAGCAGCCTGGCGGGGGGGGGGCCCACGTCACCTCCAGGCCCGAGAGCGGGCCCAGGGGAGCACGCGGCGGCTGTGCAGTGGCCGAAAGGCCAGGACCTGCGGCCTCCGGAAGCTCACGCACCGCAGGGCCACCCGGGACCACGGGGGGATGGGGGGGCGGCCAGAGAGAAGAAGGGGGGCAAGGGGCACGGGTGCAGCAAGGGACACAGCAGGCCGCCCCTCACCGTCACCCCCGTGCCCCCCAGCTGGAGGAGCGGGTCGCCTGCGCAGCTGGGTTTGGGAGCAGCCTCCAGACCAGCCGCGGTGAGATCGCGGACCTCAACGTGCGCATCCAGAAGCTTCGATCCCAGATCCTCTCCATCAAGAGCCACGTGAGTCCCAGAGCCAGGCCTGGGGGATGGGGGGCAGGGAGGAATGCAGGGCGAGCTCTCCCTCTCTCTCTCTCTCTCTCTCTCTCTCTCACACACACACACACACACACACACACACACACACGCTGAGCACATGCAAGACCCTGGGCAGGCAGGTCACTTAGAGGCACCGTGCCTCAGTTTCCTCTCTTGTCCTCCTAAGACAGCTGTGAGCATCACGCAAGGTTGCATGTGAAGGGGCTCTGTAAGCCGCCGGGAGGGAGCCCCACCAACACTCCAGAGCCCCCTCCTCCCTGGGGGCCTCCAGCTGGCGAGAAGGGGTGGGGCCAAAGCCCGGCTTCCAGGCCTCCTTACAGGGAGTCATGGGGCGGGCTCCTGAGGGGGGGGCTTCCCTCCTCCACGGGCTCCTCGGGTCCCTCCTGCCCCAGCACTGCCACAGCCACACCCCAGAGGACCGCTGCTCAGCCCCCAGCCTTGCACACTGCCTCCTGCCTGCACACCACCTCCTGCCCTGCGCACTGCCCCCTGCCCTGCACACCACACCCCTGCCCTGCACATCCCCCCTCCCTGCACACCAACCCTGCCCTGCACACTGCCCCCTGCCCCGCACATCCCCCTGCCCTGCACACCCCCACGGAGCGCAGAGACAGGCTCCTGGCCCACTCTCTCCTCCCCCCCCCGCCCGGGGCTCACGAACCCCTTCCCTCTGCGCTCCTGGCTGCAGTGCCTGAAGCTGGAGGAGAGCATCAAGGCGGCCGAGGAGCAGGGCGAGCTGACCTTCCAGGACGCCAAGCACAAGCTGGCCCAGCTGGAGGCCGCCCTGCACCAGGCCAAGCAGGACATGGCCCGGCAGCTGCGCGAGTACCAGGAGCTCATGAACACCAAGCTGGCCCTGGACATCGAGATCGCCACCTACCGCAAGCTGGTGGAGGGCGAGGAGTGCAGGTGGGCGGTGGGGCCTTGGAGGGGTGGATGGTGACCAGTGCCACAGGGGCCAGCTCCCCGCCAGAGGGAAGACCTGGGATCATGTCCCGAGCTCAACCGCTTACAAACCAGGACTTTGGCCCATTCATTATATCCTCAGTTTTCCTACCTGGAAAATGGGCTGATCATGACATAGCCTCCGGGGGGAGGATTAAGATGATTCTGCACGCAAATGTCCGTCACAGTGAAGTGGCGGTGACTGTTAGCCATTTGTGCAGGGAGGGGAAACGGAGGCCCAGAGAGGACGAACTGGCTCGCCAGGGTCACACCGCAGGGCAGGCCAGGGCCAGGAATAACAAGCAAGGGTTGCCCTCCGCCTGCCGCTCCCAGGGCCCCAGGGCCGGGGTGCAGGGGCTTAGGCCACAGGCCCCTCCACGTGCCACCATTCCCGTCCTCCCGCAGGATGGACCTGCCTTCGGCCGCCGTGGTCAGCGTGGTGCAGTCCAGATCCAGACCCGGTGAGTCTCCTTCCCCGGGAGCCCGCGGTGGGGACGGGGACGGGGCGCGGGGCATCGTGGCCCCGAAGGCGTTATTTCAAGTGGCTCCCAAACCTGCAGCCCCTTCCCTGGCCCGCCCCTTGTGTTCCCTGTAGCGGCCTCCAAGCCCGGCCTTGCGGCGAGGGCTCCCTCCCGGAAAAAGAAGAACAAAAAAGGCCCCGTGATCAAAATCACTGAAATGTCTGAGAAGTTCCTGTCGCAGGAGTCCGAGGTCTCAGAGTAAGGCAGCGGGACCCAGGCGCCCGGGTCCCTCCCGGCCGCCCGAGGGCCTCCAGCCAGACTCAGGCCGTGGTGTGGAGCCTGATCCGGGACTGAAAGGGAGGGGGTTCAAAGCCGGGGCTGCTTTTCTGTGGGTTGCGGGGAGCTGGGGGGCACACGGGAGTGTCCCCGGCCATTCAGAAGCAGCCGCTCCATCTCAATGTTTCAGCCCTACCCTTCCAACCTCTGGCCAGACTGGGTAAACTGGAATGGGGGTCAGGTGTATCTCCACCTCCTTTCCCCTCTGAGGCTCCTCCCCAAACAGAGGGCTCTGACCAAGGAACCTTTGACCCCTTTTGCCCAACCCTTGCCCTAAACTCACTTATCAAGCCTCACCTTGCCTCTGCCTCAGGACCGAGGCTGGCGCCCTCGTCCACCCACCCCCAGCCAGTCAGGGATCAGGAGCCGAGGAGGGCGGCTTGGGCCCCCTCCCCACATCCGGAGCTCCTGCAGAGGCTGGGTGCTGAGCACCACCTGGGGCCCCCCAGAGACCTGACAGTATTAGGGAGTGAAGGGAGGGAGCTCCCCAGGTGTGTGGGACCTGAGCCTGGACCTCTGAGGTCAGCCCAGACATGCGTGCCCCTTCCCTCCTCCCGCGGGGCCCTCACGGTGGGCCAGTCAGGGTTGCACAGGCTGCCCAGGCAGCTCCTGGCTCCTTCTCCAGAAGCTCTTCTTGCCATGATAAAACCAAACCCCCTGTGAGAGGGAGGCCAGATGGCAGCCTGACACCAGGCAGGGGAATCTGGCCCTCTCTTCCCCTCCCTGCCATCCCGGGGTTCACCACCCAGCCCAGGGTGCAAGCTCTCTGCCCCCCTGCTCCCCCACCACACATACCCCTCCCCACGCCTAGGCGATTCCCAAGCCTGAATCCTGGCTTTGGTGTCCCAGGCCCTGGAGACCCCTAGCGCCACCTCCACCACAAAACCCTGGGCCATTTCCCACAAATCCCAACTCTCGGGGTCCCTGTTCTCTCCATCAGGCCAAACAGCCCGGCCCGCCCCTCCACCCCTTCTTCATTTACTGAGGAGCCCGGCACATCCCACACCTGTGGGGTTAGAGCTCCTTCTTCTCTTCCCCGTCCGCCCCCGCCTCCTACAAAGCCCACTCCCCTGCCTGCCCCGGCGGGGTGGGGGGCGCGTGAAGAAGGCACAGTCCAGGCAGGTCTGGGAGTCTCTGAGCCCTTCCCGTTGGGCTGGGGAGCCCCAGTGACAACCAAAAAGGAATTCGGCATCCAAAGAGAAGATCTGGTGCTGGGAGGAGCATGCCTCTTTCCTCATCTTGGCTCTCACTTTTGGGGCTTGCATGGGGATCCTGGCAGCTCCGGCCGCCCCCTCCACCACCCACCCTCCCCCCCCAGCCCTCTCCCTCCCTGCCCCTCGCCCCATCCCTCTGCTGACCCCAGTCTTCAATTCCTTCATCTCACTTTCCGGGACATGTCCCCCAAGGCCTCGGCCCCAGCAAGGCCTCAAGGTCCTCCACGCCTGTGGGGGAATGTCAGGCTGGAGGGAACTCAGACATACACTCATCCCTGAAGTCCCAAAAGGGTGCTGATTGCTGCTTTTTCTCTGCCTATTTATTGGTTTCCGAGGGAGCAAATCCTCAGTGGGGATACGAGATATATAAAGTATATATATATATATATTATTTTTCATAACTTATGTGGCTTTTAACTTATTGCTTCCCTTCCTGTTTCTGCATATCAGTGCTGTATTTACTATCTGGGCAGACAACACGTATCCCAGCCACCCCACCTGGCTGGCTGACTATCCTGAGGGCAATGCCCCCGCCTCCTGCCAAGGGATGAATAAAGTGCTGAGATTTGTCCATGGACAGAGCTGTAGTGTCTGTTTTTAATCTCTCCGCTCGGGACCGGCCGGGTACAGGTCAAACAGGGGGGATTCTCCAGTTATGGGGAAAGGGTTCCAGGGACTTTTTTTGGGGGGGGGAGGGCTCCAAGGACTTAATGATACCTTCAGACCAGGGCAACCTGGACACAGAGAGCTCTCCCACCCCATCATCCAATCAGGAGGCTTTCCCATGCTGACCTAGGTCGCCAGCACCTCCTGGCACACCCGGGCACCACGTGGCCGCCTTGGCCAGCACGGATGCGGGGGCTCCCCCGAGCGACGGCAGGTTCCTTCTCAAGCACTTCTCCCCGCCCGTGGGGCTTGGCACAGCCCGGGGTAGATTCTGATGGGTACAGGCCTAATCCTGCCAAACCAAATTCTAGATCAACAACCAAGAATTGAGGACTTTCTCCGAGCCCAGCCCTGCTCTAGGACCCCAACTGCTGCCCACCCCTCCACCTCAAGGAGCTCACAGGCGTCGGGTTGAGGGATAGGCCGTCTACCTAAGACAGCCATCCCCTACTTCCTGACCACGCGAGAGGTTCCGGGGAGGGGAAGGGAAACCAGAGAATCAGAACAGGCTCCTGGGGGTGGGGGGGAAGTGGGGCTTCGAGCACCAAGGAGCCAGCTAGACTGGCAGACGAGCAGGTGTCTCAGGGGCAGGAAGCCTGAGCCAAGAAGGGCCTTTGAAGCCCCCGTGTCCTGGCTCGCCCATCACGGCCACCTCAGACAAACGGAACCTCAGTTTACTCATTTGCAAAACGGAGCATAGACCAGCCCTACCGACCTGATAGGGCGTCGGAGGATCTGATGAGATAGCTGTGTTCACTTCCGTGAGCAGCACCACACCTTTCGTTTCAAGCGCGCTCGGAGCGTAACACATGTGAAGGATCGCTAGTGGGGTCGCTATCTAATGAGAGGTTGTGGATTCAAGATCAAGAAGACCCACTGGTTTGGATCCCCCCCATCCCCCATCCCCCACCGCCCACCCCAGGCTGGCTCCCTCGGGGCACAGGGCAGCCAGGCCCCCCCCACCTCCCCACCCCCACCCCCAGCCTGGAAGTTCCCAGACTTCCGCTCAGAGCGGATCCATTCTTCCGAGGCCCCTGCTCTCAGAACTCAGGAGAAACTGATGGAAAACTCCACGTCCCCCTCCAGAAGAGGCCTGGAACTGAGAGCAATCCTCTACTTATCTTTTTCTGTTAATTTCTGACTTGTGATTTTCTTGAATGCTAATTTGGATCTCTGAACCTAAATATGAATTTCAGAGCCAAAAAACTATGTGACATATTTGTTATTTCATTCCTCCCACTTTCTTTGAATTTATTAATTTCTTAAGCCATCTCTGCGCCCAACACGGGGATTTGAACTCACAGCCCCGAGGGGATCAAATAAATGAGCCAGCCAGGCACCCCTGAATTCATTATTTTTATTTATTGTTTTATCATTTTCCAATTCTTGGGTTAAATGCCTTAATTTCCCATCTTTCTTCTTTTTCAATATAAGATTCTCAGAAGACCATGAATGCCCTTTTAAGAACCGTTTTGACTGATTCCTATTGTTTTCATGTACAGCAGTTTTATTAGCATTTCTTTAAAGCAATTTTACTCTTTTTTTTTTTTTTCTTTAAAGATTTTGTTTAGGGACGCTCAGGTAGCTCAGCGGTTTAGCGCCGCCTTCAGCTCCGGGCGTGATCCTGGAGACCTGGGATTGAGTCCCACATCGGGCTCCCTGCATGGAGCCTGCTTCTCCCTCTGCCTCTCTCTGTCGCTCATGATTAAATAAATAAAATATTTTTTAAAAAATAAATAAATAGGGATCCCTGGGTGGCGCAGCGGTTTAGCGCCTGCCTTTGGCCCAGGGCGCGATCCTGGAGACCCGGGATCGAATCCCATGTCGGGCTCCCGGTGCATGGAGCCTGCTTCTCCCTCTGCCTGTGTCTCTGCCTCTCTCTCTCTCTCTCTCTGTGTGTGACTATCATAAATAAATAAAAATTTTAAAAAAATTTAAAAAAAAATAAATAGAAAGAAAGAAGAAAGAAAGAAAGAAGAAGAAAGAAAGAAAGAAGAAAGAAAGAAAGAAAGAAAGAAAGAAAGAAAGAAAGAAAGAAAGAAAGAAAGAAAGAAAATGACTTCCCTACCCAAAGAAGGAAACTCTCCTGCCCCTTTCCCACTAGCTGCTCCTGAGCAGCTCTCCGGAGACTCGGGGTCGGCTCCCCCTCCCCGCGCAGGCTCCCTCCTCCCTCCTCCTTCCCTCTCCTGCCCTCCAGAGCAAGTCCGTGAACACCTGGCCAAGGATGCCACCCCTGCTCCAACTACAACAAAACTAAGCCCCTGCCTGGGTTTGGCTCTTGCTTCTCCTTGGTCTCTGGTCCTCCCAACCTGTGAGACAGAGAGGACAGGTGTCATTAGCTGAGGCCCCGTGGGGCCAGTCACTGTAACCCTGGCCACCCAGCAGGTGAAAGGAAGCATTTTGAATCCATGGAAGCCTTCGTTCCCCCCGCGGACCGCCCGCTATAGGGCGGTCGGTGCAAATGACCAAACCCCAGAGTTGAAGAAATGGAGACTGTGAAAGCCTCACCCTCAGACCAAAAAGGTGGTGGGGTTGAGCACTTGCCCAGCAGCCGGTGCCCAGCCGAAGCCCCGGGCTCAGCGTGGATAGTCAGAGCTCAGAGGCCGTGGGCCAGAGCTAGCGAGTCAGCACCCCGGCGGCTCCAGAGAAAACTCCCTGTAAGGGGGGAGCCCAGGACAGGCCCCAGGGGCTAGGGGTTGGCTGCATGACCTCCTCGACTAGAAGGAAGGTGGTCCCTAGATTTGGGAAGCTCCAGAGGCTGATGGGGGTGGGTGGGGAGATGCACCCACACAGAAACAGAGACAGACCCAGAGATACCTGGGCAGAGCTCAAGACCTCCACACTGGGGTCTGCAGAGCAGTGGGGGGGCCTTAGTCAAAGGGGACTTGGAGGAGGGAAGGAAGCAGCTGGAAAGGAGGGGGTGTTAGGGCTGGCAAGGAACAGGGAGTGGAAATGGCCTGGGGCAGGGAAGTGGAACAGACTTGCTCAGCCTCCAGACAGGGGCAGAGAGCAAACCACGGGCGACCAGACGGGAACAGAGGAAGCCCGCACTGAGTGAGGAAAACTATGGAAGCACAGGTCAGAATGTGGGGTAACCCCTGAAACCCCGCCCCCGCCCTGCCCCGCCCCAAAGAGAAGCCGACCGACCGTGAGCTGTACCATTCAAGGCTGCATCCCCGCATCTAGCAGAGGTGCCCGGCACACAGTCGGTGCTCACTAGGCGCTGGACAAGTGAATGAAGGGGTGGTTGGCAGGTGATTGCAGCTGCATCAGGATGAAAGATGCGCCGCCCACCTCGGAGGGCTTTTTGAGCACCTACTGTGTGCTGCACCCCGCGCCCAGCCCAGCAGGGAGGGAGGAGGGGAGAGAGGGTAAAAAGGAGTCCTTGCCCTCAAGGGGCTTCTGGCTTCCCGCCAGGATCCAGCTCCTGGTCCCCTGTTGTGCCCAAGTCCCCTCTGTTGCGGTTGGCCACGTGCTCTCTGCGGGACCTGGGGCGAGTCACGTCCCCCCTCTGGAGTTGTTTCTCCATCTGTAAAATAAGGTATTAACTGGCTGCCCCTGCAGGTCCCTCTGATGTTGACACCTTGACACCTGCCCATCCCCTCCCTAGTCACCTGATTGATTCTCTGGGCAGCTCAGCCTCGAACAGGGGCAGCAGTCAGGCTAACCGACACATGGCCTATAGAGCAACCCTGCTTCTCTAGCTGTTGGCCCTGGACAGCTGTGGGGGATAGGGCACCGCCCCTGGGTCTGGCCTGAAGTTTAAAGAGAAGATGCACCATAAAAGAATTTAGCTCAGTGCCTGGCACATGCTAATGCTTCAATATAGCAGTAGCAGCAAACATGCTGATTATGAAAAGCTTCCCCCTCATCCCCCTGCCTGGCCCGGGGGGTGGCGGGGAGCAGTTGGGTGAGGGCCCACACCTGTGCCCAGCATCACCCGCACCTTCGCCCCCCAGAAGAGGCCGGGGCTCACAGCTCTGTTTGGGGGCGGCTGAGGGTTAGAGAGGACAGGGAAGGGGCCCATCCCTCCGGTTCCCTGCGGGAGGGGACAGCCCACAAGCCATCGGGGCAAGGTCAGTGCCCCCCACCCAAGGCCAGAGGACACCGCGGCGACCACTGCCCTCTGCCGGCCGCGGCGAGGCCAGCACTTCACCAGAGCGACCTTAGGGAGGTGGAGGCTGGGAGGAAGCGAGACGGGGCTGCGCTCCCCAGCCCCCCACACACCTAGCTCCAATACCAGGCCTCAGTGCTCAGAGGCTCCCAGGGCTGAGCCCCTGGAGCCGGGACCTCAGGCCAAGCCATCCTTGCTCCGGGAAGGGCTGCCACCGCCTGCCAGCCCCAGGGAGCCTGTGCCCACCAGACAGGTCACTCCCTGGGCTTTGGCTCCTCTCACTTGTCACACCTCATCCATCAGCTCAGATGTCACCTCCTCGGAGAGACCCGCCCCCCAGAAACAGCCCCCTGCCACCCCCACCCTACTTTCTATTTCTTGCTTTATCATTACCCCAACTCGAGTTCTTCGGAGCACTGAACACCATCTGCCTTTCTTGATTTTTCCTTCTCTGGTCTATCATCTGGTATCCAGTCAGGTCACACAGAGGGAACTGGATGCACACAGCTGATAGCGTGGGGACTGAAAGCTTCAAGAACAAAGTGCAGGGGTGGAGGGTGCTGAGGAATTCTAGAAAGCGAACCCAGGAGGCAATACCAGCTGTAGGGCCTTCCCCACACCCAGGAGCTCAGGCGAGGGCCCCAAGGAGCTGGGTCTTGGACACGGGTGCAGGGGGATTGGACAGAGCAAAATGTTTTCCTTCTACTGGAACATTTGGAAGTAAAGCCTGGGTGCCCGTTGTGACAAGATGGCCACGGCCCCCCAGGCTTCCAGAAGCTGCGCACATGTCCCCGGTGGAGGATGTGTGACACCTGCAGATCCCCTGCTGGAAGGACTCTGTTCAGAAACAACCAACATCCCCCCCAAAATAAACAACTGGGACCACATCCAACTAAAAAGATTCTGTACCACACGGGAAACCATCAACAAAATGAAAAGGCAGCCCACGGACCGGGAGGAAATGTTTGCAAATCATGGATCTGATTAGGAGCTAATCAAAATATATAAAGAATTCCTGCAACTCCACAGCAAAAAAAAAAAAAAAAAGGCAAACAGCCCAATTTTTTTAAATGGGCAGAGGTGGCCAGCAGGTACATGAAAAGGTGCCCACCATCACTCATCATCAGGGAAAGTCAAATCAAAACCACAATGAGATACCACCTCACACCTGTCACAATGGCGGGTATCAAAAATGCAGGAAATAGCAAGTGTTAGCAAGGATATGAGCAAAGGGAATCCTCGTGAACTGTTGGTGGGAATACAAATTGGAAAGTATGGAGGTTCCTCTAAAAATCAGGGATAGAACTTCCATATGATCCAGGAATTTCAGCTCTGGGAATACACCCAAAGGAAACGAAGTCACTACCCCCAAGAGATATCTGCTCCCTCGTCTTCACTGTAGCATTACTCACAATAGCCAAGAAATGGAAATAGCCTAAGTGTCCATCTACGGATGGATGCATAAAGAAATCGCGGTACACCGTACATATCCAACGGAACACTTGCTGTTCGGTCATAAAAAGAAGGAAATCCTGCCATTTGTGAACATGGATGGACCTTGAGAGCATTATGCTCAGTGAAATGTCACACAGAAAGACAAATGCTGCATGATCTCGCTTATTTTTTTAAAGATTTTATTTATTTATTCATGAGAGACATAGAAAGAGGCAAAGACACAGGTAGAGGGAGAAGCAGGCTCCTCGTGGGGAGCCCGATGCGGGACTCGATCCCAGGACCTCAGGATCAAGCTCTGAGCCAAAGGCAAGATGCTCAACCACTGAGCCACCCAGATACCCTGATCTCACTTATATATGGAACCCAAACAACAGATTCACAGAAGAAAAGGACGGACGGGTGAGTGTCAGAGATGGGGGGGGGGGAATGGGTAAAAAAAAAGAGAAAGAGGAAAAAATAAAAGAAAGCAAAAGGAAGAAAGGAAGGAAAGGGGGAGGGAAGGAAAGAAAGAAAGAGAGGGAGGGAGGGAAGCAGGGTCAGAGGGAAGGCGGAAAGATCATCCATCACCCTCTTTTGATTGCTAATTTTTTTTTTTTTTTTTACATTTTCAATGTTTTTCAAAGGGAGAAACCTGCCTCTCAACCCTGTGCCAACTAGGGCAGGGAGTAGCGGAGCTTACCACAGCCACTCAACTCCTGTCCCAAAAAGAGCGAGAAAGAACCAGAATGCTCCTGCCTTCTCCTCCCCATCCCGCAGTCCTCCAGCCCCTAAGGGTTTGTGCCAGCTGTGGTCCAGCCGCCGCGAAGCCAGGCACCTCCCTCCACGGAATGCGGGCTCCACCGCCAGGGAATGCACGCGACCTCGAGCCAGCACTCGACACTCACTTGACAAATATTTACCGATGCCTACAACGTGCCGGGCGTGTTTCAGGCTCTGAAGATACAGCACAAACAAATCCGCCCGAACTCTGCTCACACGGGGTTTACGTTCTCACAGGGGAGGGTGGATAAGAAAGAAATGTATTGTAAAAGAGACAGGTGGCCAGATGGCAATAATAAGTTCTAGAGGGAAAGAAATGAAATAAAAATAAATTCTGGAGGGAAGCATAAAGGCGGCAGGTGCACGGGGAGTGCTGGGAGTCGGGGGTGCTTAATCGGGAGGGCGGGGAAGCCTCACTGCCAGGAGGACACTTCATCAAAACGCAGAAGGAGGTGAAGAAACAAGCCACGGGGATGCCCAGGGAGAGCATTCTGGCAGAGGGATCGGCAAGGGCAAAGGCCCTGAGGCAGGACCCTGCCTAGCGTGCCTGGGGACCGGCAAGGAGGCCAGTGCAGGGGCACTGCAGGGAGAGGGGAGAGCCAGAGGACACAGGCCGGACGCACAGGGCCAACTGCGCCAGGCCCTTTGGACACGTGAGGACAAGGTCTGGAGTGGACAGTGGCTGGATGTGGCTCTCTGCTAAGAGGTTGGGGGCCGGAGCAGAACAAGCCCTAGGCCACGTCCCCGCCAACAGAATGGTAGCCCCCCAGGCAGGGCCCAGCCTACGGGACGTGCTCATCACAGTCCCAAAGGGCCTGGCACTTAGCAGATGCTCATTAAATACTGTTGACGGAAGCTGAGGACACCCGTGAGAGCTCGGCCAGCTGGCAGGACGTCTGTCGAGGCCCGGGCCGGGCACCTAGCTCACATCGCCCCTATTCCAGGGGAGCACCTGCCCGGTCCGCCCCCCACCCCCTGGCAGAGCTGAAGCTGCCCAGGCCTGTCTGACTCCAGGGCCCCTGCTCTCTACACCGTCCCCGAGGCCCAGCTCCCGCCAGGTCGTTCCCACCCCGCCGGGCTCCCCCGGGCCTCTAACACCAGCCCAGAATGCTCCAGAGGGGGAGGAGGCTGAGCCCGGGCCTGTCCCTCCAAGGCTCTGTGAATCGGGGTGTCTACCTGCCCCCGGGAGTCTGCTAGCCCACCCACCTGCAGCGACGACCGCACCTGCGCCCGGCCCGCTCCTCCCTCCATCCGCGGGCCTCGAGCGCCGCCTGCCGACCGCTGCTCCGCTCGCACCTGCAGGCCCCGCTGCTGCAGGGGCAAGGGGGCCCTGGACCAGAACCGGCCTCAGCTGGACCAGAACCGGCCTCAGCGCTTCTCCCCCACACCCCAACCACAGGGGAGTCCCTCCCCCGGCACTCGGAGGTCGAAGGGGATTACCTGGTGCAGGTAAGGGGACAGCACACAGCCAAGTCCCCAGGTCCTGGGACTTACCTGCGGTCTCCCTGGAGCATTTCCCTAGGCGGCGGGGAGCTGAGCCTTGAGGGACGTGGGTAAGGAAGGCAAGATCGGGGCTCCCTGGGCCAGTGCCCTGCTTAGGGACGGAAGGAAACCCAGGCCACCAGGAGCCTGGGTGGCTCTGCTTCCAGCTCAGGCCCTGAACCCAGGGTCCCTGCTCCCCGCCCCCCGCACCACAGGGAGCCTGCCTCTCCCTCTGCCTCCCCCTTTCTCTGTCTCTCATGAATAAATAAATAAAATCATTTTAGGAAGAAAGAAAAAAAGAAAGAAAGAAAGAAAGAAAGAAAGAAAGAAAGAAAGAAAGAAAGAAAGAAAGAAAAAAGGAAGGAAGGAAGGAAGGAAGGAAGGAAGGAAGGAAGGAAGGAAGGAAGGAAGGAAGGGAGAAAGAGAAAGAAAGAAAGAAAGAAAGAGAAAAGAAAGAAAGAAAGAAAGAAAGAAAGAAAGAAAGAAAGAAGAAAGAAAGAAAGAAAGAAAGAAAGAAAGAAAGAAAGAAAGAAAGAAAGAGAAAAGAAAAGAAAACCCAGGCCAGCCCCAGCCCCAGCCTTAATCCCTCTCACACTCATTCCTCTTACTCCACCTTGTCCCTACCCATCGTATCTCTCCCCAAAATCCCCCTCCTTCAAATCCTCAGAATTAAAAAAAAAAAAAGCAAAAAAACAAACAAAAAACAAATCCTCAGACGTCCCAGTGCCCCCCCAAGGCCCTCATACATGCTGCTCATACATGCTGCCCTCATACATACCTGTGCCGAGGTAGGAGCCCAGGAAGGGGACAGCAGGTGGGTGAGCTGAACAGTGAGGGCAGCCTTTGCGGAGCACCACGTGCACACAGGCACGTGGCTATGAGCAGATGTGCACACACACACTCACCATGCACACGTGTGCACACAGGTATGCAGGTGCACTCTGCGCACATATGTGCTTGTGTCACATGCTCATACGTGGGCGTTGTGTGCACACCTGCATGCATGGGCACGGGTGTCTACACCTAAGTGGGCGTCCTGAGGCACAGACCGGCGCAGGTCCCCTATCAAAGCACACACCACATGCACGCACCCCCCCCCCCCACTGATGCTCCTGTGCACACATGTCCGCACAAGTCTAGGGGTAAAGCGATACTCTGGAGTCAGAGAGACCTCAGGAAGAACCGCCGCTTGGCTTTACCACTCAGTTGCTGTGACCTTGGATGTGGGTGACTTTTCAGAGCCTCAGTCTCTCTGTCTATAAACGCAGGTAACAGGGGTGCCTGTCGGGGAGTAAGGACCCTCATGGATGGGTGGGTGTCAGCCCGCAGAACCCCGGCCTCGGGCCTGCGTGTGGCTGTGACTGTAAAGTAGCCAGGCCACCACCTGCGGTTTGAGGCCGTGGCTCCCCTGAGCCCAGAGCCCCCCACCACCCGGCACAGGCACGCACGTGTGCACCACACAGGGGCTGTCTGTGTGTCCCTGCTGTTTGCACGGGCGGCTTAGCTACCAGGCGGATGGAAGAGCACGCGGGCCCCCGGGAGCCCGGCCCTCCCACCCCAGCCTGTCGGGCAGGGCCTGGCCAGGATGCCGGCCTTCCTGCTGCCTTTCCTCTTACTCTTGGCCACAGACGCGGGCACGAAATGAGGGACTCGGGGACCCACTCACCCTCCAAGGCACCACCGGCTTTGCCCTGCCCCCAGCAAGTTGGGGCCCTTCCCTGAGACTGGAAGACTCCAGGATCCTCCTGGCGGTTCCCCAGCCTGCCTGACAGCCCCCTCCCCAACTCCGTGGCCCCACAGGCCCCAGGCTGCTGAGACCATGCCTCGGGGAGGGCGAGAGGTGGGAGGCCCACCGCCCCGGTGCCCTGCCCCCTACACACGCTGCCCGCATTGCCTCCTAAATAAAGGACCCAAGGTCCTCTCCTAGGACCCAAGTCCCCTCAGAAAACTGCCAGGCCAGGCCACCTCGGGGCCCGGGCCCAGAAAGAGAGCTGCTCCTTGTCCTGGGTGCGGTGCAGAGAACAACCTGGGTTGACAGGCTAATTCTGAAGAACTTCCCAAGGGATCGGGGACAGCCGCGTGGCAGGCCACCCCTTAAAATTATGCCATTCAGTCACCAGGCCCCCAACCTACCAGGCCCCACAGGAATGATCTCAGAACCTTGCCCCTGCCCATTGTCACCCCCAGGTGGGCAGGGTCCCCTGGCAGGAACTGCTGCCATGTGTAGCTGACAATGAGAGCCATTTTCTTTAGTCCTCTGGCCCAAAGGTAGGGTGCGCAACCCATTCAGGTGCTTGCCCTTCCGGGTCCCTCCCCCCAAAATAGTTCCAGGGCACCCCAGGTGTGGGGATGCAGAGTACCACAAGCCTCCCAGGGGTGGAATCCTAGCACAGTGAATGTAGCCTCCTGCCTCATTTTACAGATGGAAAAACTGAGGCCCAGGGAGAGGAGAGGCCTTGCTAGAACCACACAGTGGAGGTGAGCTTCAGGCCCGGACCTGGGCCTCCTGACCTCTCCCTCCCCTGCCCCTACGTCTTGGGAGACAGCCAGGGCTCCCATGAATCCCTCTGAGCTTTGCTCTGTGTGCTGGGACTGTCCAGCGGGCGGGGTAGAAAGGGAAAGAAGGGACACACACACCAAAATCGGTGGGTACTTTGCCAGGAGGAGGAGCAGACCGAGGAGACTTCTTCCCAGGGCCTGGCCTTAGAGCTGACAGGACCAGCACTGCCCAGACAGGGTCCCTCCTGGAACTTCCGGGGCCTAGAAGACGGCCAGAGTGAGCCAGTCACTAGTGTGACACAGACACACCTGGGTTTGGGAAGGGGGACCCTGAACACAGTCTGAGCTCCACGCTGTCTCCACCACGACGGCTTGGCAGTTTTCAAACAACCCAAAAAGCGTGGAGATGAGAAAATGAGGAAAGAGCCTCCATCTACCAGCCCGTCAGATGGAAATAGGGCTTATGCTCTCCTGCCCCCCACTCACCCCATGCTGCCAGAGGGGAGGCCCTCCCTGCAAGCGCGGGATGTGCCTCCCCACCCCTCCGACTCAGCCCTGCAGGCCAAGAGCCGAGTCAGCAGGAGCCGAGGGGCTGAGCCACCCTCCAGCTCCCTCCCGGCAGCTCCGCGAGCCCTGCTTCTCCTGGGAGACACGGGACGCGGGAGACCAGCCCGAGCCTGTAACCAGAACAGGCCAGAGTTGGCATTTCTCTTTTCTGTGCCCTGCACCCCCAAGCCCGCCACCCACTCCCACCGTGAGGGCCACAGCCAGGCCTAGGACAGGATGGGGGGACCCCGAGGCCCTATTCCAGGAGCCGGGGGAGGTGGGCAGGGACCAGCCAGCATCCTTTGGCAGGTGGTGGGCCACCGTCCATGAGCGCCCCAGCGCCACTGCCCACGACTGTCCTGCAAGATGGGCTCACCGCCTCTCCCAGCGGATAAAGCCAATGAGGCCAATGAGGCCGGGCTCCCCGCACAGCTCCGCTGCCCCAGGGCGCAGGGGGGCGCAGGTGGGTGCAGGGGGGCGCAGAGGGGCGCAGGTCGGTGCAGGGGGGCGCAGGGGGGCGCAGGGGGCGGCCCCCGAAAGGTGCCGTGGACCTGGGGTGAGGCCGGTGTGAGGGCCGGGCCTCGGGGTCCCTCGGGGCCTGTGCGCCCTGCAGCCGCGCCCGCGCCAGGGCCCGCCCCAGGGCGCCCAGCAGGGGTGGGGGGGGCGGGGTCCCCGCAGCGCCGACACCTGGTGTCCCTCCGCCCGCGGCCGGCGTGCCCGGGCAGGGAGGCGGCTCAGGGCGGCCCGGACGGGCCGGGCCGGGCCGGGCCGGGCCGGGCCGGGACGCGGGCGGCGCCGCCACATCTGAGCATCCGAGCCCGCAGCATTCCCCGGCGCCCCGCTGGGGCAGGGCGGGCAGGGGCAGGGGCGGGAGGAGCTTCCCCAGGCCTGTCGGGCACCGCCTCCTGCCGGCCGCCGCGGACCACTGCAGGGCCCTGGGAGAGGCCGGGACGGGCGCCCTGGGGCTGCTCAGGGGCGCCCCCGCCGCCCCCGCCGCGCCCCTCGCTCCGCAGACACGCCCCGGGGTGCCCGGCGCTGGAGCGCACTGCAGGGCGCCGCCCCCTGCACTTGCCAAGGCTCGGAGCCAGCCCCCCGCCAGCCAGCACCCCGACACCCAGCGCCCCAAGGCCGCAGTAGGCACGCGGCCTGCACAGCCGGGCTGCAGAAGGCCTCCAGCTCCCGGACTCCCGTGCAGGAAGGGGCCCAGCCTGAGCCTCCTCTCCCCGGCTTGAGCTGCTCGGACATTTTCCGAAGGCGCGGGTCATGCGACCCTCCACAGCCCCTACTCCTGCCACAAGCCAGCCACCGGGGCGTCCCCCAGGCCTTGCCTGGCCACTCCAAGACCCCTCGTATCAACAGCAAAATGCTTATATGGCAGCACTGTTCTTCCTGCTTTATAAATACTCACGCATTTAGCAATTCTGCTCAGAACAAAGCCCGCATGGCCCCTGCCCACGCCACACACACACACACACACACACACACACACACACACACACACTACTCGTGCCAGTCAGTACATCCACATTCCTGGGCCTGGGCTTCCACAGATTTCCTGCCTGGGCCCCCCCACCAGGGGCCACTGTGCTTCAGAACACTGGGCACCGCCTGTTCTTCCCCCAGCCAGCGCCCCCTTCCCCGCCGACGTGCCCAGGACTCGAGCAGCACCGTGGTTGACAGGTGCCGGGGAAGGAACACGGACTCTGGCCCCAGCTACCGCGGGTGCTGTGTGACCTGGGGCAACGCGTGACTCACTGGAAGCCCCAAGTTCCTGAGCTGGTTGGAAGAGGCCATTTCTAAAGCCACGTCCGAGCTGCCCATCTGGGATTCTGCGTGGGCTTGTTTGCTTCCCAATGTGGTCTTTCTCCTGGGGTCATGGTGTTTGTATACAGTAAATGCTCACTAAATGCATGAACTAACAGTTGTTCACAGCCTGTAACCCTGTTCTCAGCATCCTCACTCTGAGCCTGGGAACTGGGAGGAACTCTACCCTCTGCCTCCATGCCCTGGCCCTCCTGGCTCCTAGAACCTCCTGGTGGATCCAGGTCCAGGCCCAGAGAAGTCATGTCAGGGAGGGAGTGCTGATGGGGAACAGGCCGGGCAGTCTCCCCCTCCCTCTAACCCCCTGAAGGGCCTGGCTCCAGCCTCCAGCCGAGGGGGAAAACTAGCCCAAGTTCTCACATGCCCAGATGCCCACACTAGGAACCAAAGGTCCCTGTGGGCAGCACCTACAGGCTGTACCCTGGGATTTCCCACCTGGAAAGTCTGGAAGAGTCCATTGACCATGGTTTTCAGCGTGAACCTTAACAAGCCCGTTACAAACACTTATCGAGTGGCACCGGGAACTCCCGAAAGTCCTGGGGACACAGGCTAGTTCAGGACACAGAGAAGATTCTGGAAACCAGCTCAGTGCAGAGTCAAGTGCTGGGGCGTAGCACTTCCTGGAGAGGGGTGTGTGTGCAAGGTATGGAAGGCCAGGCCGGGGCCAGCAGGCTGGGGAGAGGCTTGGAGACCCTGCAGGTGGAGGAGAGGGAGGAGAGAACGAGGGCACTTGCAATTCCGACCTCCAAATTACTGCAGCCTGAGCACCGGTCGGTCTGCAACCTCCCGTGGACGTGGCAAGAAGAGAGGGGGTTCAACACGCAGCAGGAAAGACTAGAGTCAGACCACAGACAGAACTTCCTGCTAGAACCTCTGAATTCCAAACTGGCAGCAGACTGTGGGGTTCCCTGTTCCCCAGGGCCTTCGAGAACAGGAGCCACCCTGAGGGCTTCGCCCAGGGTCCTCTCTACGCCATGGCAGGGGTCCCAGGGAAGAATTCCAAGGGCTGCATCACGCAAGGGAGGCTGGGAACGGGAGAGGACACCTCAGCCATCCTC